CCACTTCCCTGAGTCTGGATTCAGCCAGGCTGGAAGGGCTGAGAGAACAGGGCAGGGGGTATATGGACCAGGCCTAGGAGGCTCCATGGTACGCAGGTTAAAGAAGCTCTGGAGTCAGACCTGGCTTCAAAACTTTATCTGCCAGTTCCCAATCCCTGCCTGTTTTAGAATCGCCTTGTTTGCAAAATGATTTAGCCATCTTAGAAAGCTGTTATGAAGATAGATAATCCATTATCATATGCTTGGCATTTTGTAGCCTCAAAAAATGGCACCTCAGCCTCCTGAGTAGCTGGGACCACAGGTATGAACCACCACGCCCAGCTAGTTTTTAATTTTTTTATAGAGACAAAGTCTAGCCCTGTTGCTCCTGAGCTCAGGAGATCCTCCTGCCTTGATTTTCCAAAGTGCTGGGATTACAGGTGTAAGGCACCTCCCCTGGCCATCCCCATTTCATAGATGAGGAAACTGAGGCTCAGAGTTAAGAGGCTTGCCCGGGATCCCACAGCTAGAAAAGAAGGATTCTGTTTGATTCCCAAACCTGGAATCTTCTCACTGCCCCGGTGCAGGCCCCATTCCTTCTTTAGAGTTACTGGGAGTTCCCTGCACCTTTTCCCCCAGAAGAGACAGAAGAGACCTAGGATTTCAGAGGGCGGGAAACATTTAAGTCAAAGCCCCAAGGCTCTGGCAGTGACTTGCTGGTGCTGATGACAGCTCTCCATCTACCCTTTCTCTCCCTGCCCCTGTCACTTCCTGTCCCCCTCTCTCCCAGCAAGGGCTGGACTCACTTCTGTGACCTCACCCCAGTACCATGGTTGCCTAACAGCTTCCACCTGATCTGTATGGGAGGCCCATCTCTGGGCTCACCAGCCCTGCCGTCTTTGTCACAGTCTGTCCAGGCCAACGTGTCCTCTAGCTCAGCTTACTCCTTCTCCTCCATTCATTTTTTCAGGAAACATTCTAGAACCTTCCTCCAAGGGCCCAATACTGAGCAACACAGACCAGGACTGGCCCTATGGTGAAGTCAGGTCTGGGTCATGGAATTGAATGGGTTGTGTTGCCACATGTGGTGGGGCTCCTGCCTGTAGTCCCAACACTGGGAGGTTGAGGTGGGAGGATCGCTTAAGGCCAGGAGTTCCAGACCAGGCTGGACAACACAGCCTATAGTCCCAGCTACTTGGGAGACTGAGGCAGGAGGATCGCTTGAGCCCAGGAGGTTGAGGCAGCAGTTAGCTATGATTGCACTACTGCACTCAGGGCTGGGTGACAGAGTGAGACCCTGTCACTAATAATAATAATATTTAAAAGGAGTGTATTGTATTGAGGCTAAAGCAGCACAGAGGCTAGAGAGGCCTGAAATCACAAAATGTGTAGGGGGAAGGCAGGAAAAGCATTTCCACAGGAGGGAACAGCTTGAGCGAGTGGGGAGGAAGCAGGACTTCCTGGGCCCACTGGGCCGGGGCGCTGGTCGTCCGATTTATCTCTCAATGCTGAGAGGCTGCGCATCATCCCTGCAGAAGCGCCACATCACTTTGTCCCTATCCCCAACACCTCCTCCCTTCACTCGTGGTCATGCTGTCCAGCCTTCGTTCTTTTTTTTTTTTTTTTTTTTTTTGAGACGGAGTTTCGCCCTTGTTACCCAGGCTGGAGTGCAATGGCGCGATCTCGGCTCACCGCAACCTCTGCCTCCTGGGTTCAGGCAATTCTCCTGCCTCAGCCTCCTGAGTAGCTGGGACTACAGGCACGCACCACCATGCCCAGCTTAATTTTTTGTATTTTTAGTAGAGACGGGGTTTCACCATGTTGACCAGGATGGTCTCGATCTCTTGACCTCCTGATCCACCCGCCTCCACTCCGGACAAAGCCGCGGCCTCCTACCCAGTTTCCTGCCAGGAAGGCGGGTCTCTCTGCAAACTACGCCGAGGCCAGCGCTACCTGAGCCCTAGATCTATCCCCAAAACCCCAGTCTAGGGGCCTCCTTGCCCAGTGCCACAGTCAGCAGTGCGGAGGGCCTGCGTCCTTACACAAACGCCAAGGGAAGGAGAACAGGGCCTTGGAGGTCCTGAGACCCCACCTCTCCCCGCCTGCGCGGGGAAGAAGAGGGACTGAGCCGCCTTGGCCCCCGTCCGGCCCTCCGCGCGTCTCCCCGGCTCTCGGTCTCTCTCCGCATCTCCTTCCAGTCCCAGCCTCTCCACTCCCTGCCTCTCCGGCTCTCTCCCCGTCTCGGTCTCCGTTCCTCCGCGTCTCTCTCTTTCTCTCCCCCCTCCACCCCAGGCCTCCTCCCCCGCCGGGCGGGGGAGATCGCTCCGTAAATAGGCGGATGGCCCCGGGCGCTGCGGGCGCAGACACTCGTTTTTAGAGCCGGTAATTGACTCCTTTCAGTTGATAATTCATGGCTTGCATATGCGCTTTAATGCGGGCGCCCGGGGAGGCGCGGCAGGCGGGGCGGGAGCGGGGCGCGGGTCTGCGCGGCCGCCCGTCCGTCAGTGTCCGCGGGAGGCGTGGGCGCTCCCACCCGGGCTGCCTGCCCCGCGCTCCCGAGGCCCCGGCCGCGGAAGGGGCGTGCGCTGGATGGGACACAAAGGCCGGGCGGTCCCTGGGTGGCGCAGGGCCGACTAGCGGGGCCTTCGAACTGAATGCGGGCGGGGACACGCGGGCACCCCTTCCCCAGTCAGCCAAAGGGGAAGCTGAGGTTCAGAAAGGGAATAGGTAGACAGAACCGAGGTCAGAATTCAAGACCCCCTTCCCGGAACATCCTAGTCAGGGCCCTTAATCCCAACTTTTCTAGAGCCCCTCACCTGGGAATGCTCCTGTTTTTGAGCTAAATTCCTGCGCTGGAACGTCCCACCCTGTTGCTCTCTCACAGGCACCCGCAGGAGGGGCTCTTCCCCGTGAATTCTGGGCACAGATACTCAGATCTCAGCAGGCCCCTCACCCCACAGCGACTCCCAGGCTGGGGAGCGGGAGCCCGAGTCCCTCCCACCTGGTCCCTTAGCTTCTGGAGGGTCTGTCTCATTCTGCACCTGGGCAGACGTGATCTTCAGCCCCATGTTACAGATGCTTAGAGAAGCTGAAGATTTGCACAGTCTCAGAGGAAACAGAGCCAGAACCTGGACCCGTGTGTGTACCCGGACCAAACCCTCCATGGTGGAAGGAATAGGAGTGGGAAGGGGAGGAGGAGACATAGGGTCCAGGAGGTTCCATACGTCCAGGAGGTCCCACATGGACCTCAGAGAGGTCTCCACAGCAGGAGAGCAAATGACATCCACAGTCACAGATCACCGAGTGATTTCAGATGAAGATGGTGCTGGCAGGTAGTTGTTAGGAGTCAGAGGTTAGGGGTCAGCACTGGAGCTGGCGCCGGAGATGGGGAGGAAGATGGTTGTTGACTCCAAACATCAGCTCGGGAGATACTAGAGAAAGCCCAGGCGGAAGGGAAGTCTGCACCTAGGATAGGGCTTTCCATTTATTCAGTCCCTTGAGCTGGTATCTGCCTCGCGTTTTCCCCAGGCTAATCCAGCCAAAATAGAATTCTACCTGCTGCATCTTAAAATCTGCAAATACTCAACGTAAAGCCAAAGTGCCTGGCTAATTCCTGCATCCCTCTATCTCTGTCCCTCCACTTGCTAGTTTCCCCATCAGCGCAGTAGATCTCACTGGAGAAGTCACTGCGACAGTGGGTCTGAGAGCAGAGGGCAAAGGCTGTCTGGGCCTTGTGAAGCTCAATGCTGCCCTCTGGTGCCCAGAATGCAGGAGACACCTGAGGTCTCCCACTTTCTCCAAGTTGCTCAGACCTCCGTCATACAGGGCAGGGAAGACAGGTCACCAGCCCTACTAACTCCATTTGGGGGAAACTCTGAGGCTCCTTCTCCTGCAGATATCTCAGACTCTGTGGTAGAGTTGGTGTGGGGGGACAGGTGACATCGACAATAGCCCTGTCCAGCCTACACCTGGACACCCTGGGTGGTTCCTTCTGTGGGAGGCAGAGGCAAGTCTGCCCCCTCTGCTGTGCAATTCCTGGGGTCTTCATCTGAGTTAAATGATTTTAAGTCAGGCTTTTTCTCTGCCTGAAATTTCACATTTGTGTTGAAAAGGGTTACTCAAAATATGTAGGGTGGATGGATTCCATTCATTTGCATTGTCTTCAGAAGGTCTGTGCTATCAAGCACAGGGAAAAGTGAGTTCATTAATTTGCATAGTTGGCAGGAAGTAGGGCTACAAAGAGGTATGGGATGGGGGAAGGGAGAGATTCGATGGGAGGAATATCTCAAGAGAGTTCAGATGAAGGGAAAGTGATGCTGGGGGGCGTATTGGAGGAATCAAGAAAGGCTTCCTAGAGGAAGTGGCATTTGACACAGGGCTTGAAGGACAAAGAAGACAGCAATGGTGTTCAGGGGGAGGGAAAAGTCTGAACAGCAGCACGGAATCAGAAGCATAAGGTGCGCTTGTACTGGTGAGAAGGCTCCAGTTTGAGGGAACAGAAGGAGGCAGTGCTGTGGTGGAGCCATGGGAAAAGAGGCTATGGAGGATCCTGGAGACATGCTGATGTCAGACCAAGGAATTGGTGTTTTGTGGCAAAAGCACTGAACTGTGAGCCAGGGGTCTGGGTCCTAACCCAAGCTCCACTCTGACTGAATTCCACTGTCTTGGCCTTGCTCTCTGGAGCCCTCTCCGGACATCACTGGGAATCGTGGCAAGTTCTTAATAAGGACAGTGCCCAGAAATCACAGCTCACAGAGTGGTCAAGCTGGTAGGCACCATAGACCTTATTAAATCTAACCCCTTCAATGTGCAGATGAGAAGACTCAGGTGCAGAGAGATGAAGGGACCAGCATCACACAGCAAGTCAGGGACAGAGCCAGGACCTGGACCCAAATCTCCAGCCTCTCTTTCCCCACTGCAGTCTGGGGTAGCATCAAGGGGACTGAACTGGAGGAGAGCAGCTGGAGGCAGAAGACCAGGAGGTTACAGCCCCACCCAGACCAGAGATCATGAGGCCAGGACCAGTCAGAAAATGTTTATTGAGCTCCTCACCCTGCTCCCCATCTTGGGCCCATCTGAGGAGTACTGAGCACCCACACAGAGGGACCACAAAGAAAAGGAACCTGGTGGGGTTCCAGAAGGAGGAGACATAGGTGGACATGGTATTCATGAGAAGGAAGGTTCATCAGGGGCACACTTGGGTAAGGATCTAGGAAGGTCTACAAGAATAACACCAAGAAACTATTTTAGAAACAAGGTCTCGCTGTGTTGCCCAGTTTGGTCTCAAACTCGTGGCCTCAAGCAATCTGCCAGCCTCTGCCTCCAGAAGTGCTGGGATTATAGGTATGAGCCACCACAACCAGCCCCATGTTTCTTGAGCTGTTACTCCATTCCAGGAGCCTGTCACTTGGGCCCCCTCTGGTTCTTGACCAAGGTGTCTACCTCCTTCATGAACCGGAGACACAGCTCATCTTCCCATAGCAAAGCAATGCACTGCACAGCCACCGGAAGTCCCACGGATCCGCTCACCACCTGCCAGGAGAGAGGGTCGGGAACTCAGAGCCTGCTTCCTGCTCACAGGCTCCTTGCCTGGCTCTGTTCATCATCCATGCTGTTCTGGGCCTCTGTACCAAGGGCTGGTCTAGGTAATGCTTTAGCCCAAACATTCCTTTCTCAATCTGTATTAAGGTAAAGATGACCTAGATCTCAGAATTCCAGGCTTCCTCAGCTCTCAGCGAAACCTGAAAAGACTGTTCTGATTTTACTGTCCGTAGTTCTCCACGGTTAGCATGTAAAACTTGATCCCTATGCAGAATGCTGATTATAATGATGAAATAGAAAGCCGAGCATCCATCCAACGTTCAGGCAAGAGAAAGAAGAGTGTGCTAATCCCTGATCCAGAGCCTGGTTACCCTTCCACAGTGAAAGCATTGCCTTGGCCCAAAACAGGCCCAGGAACATGGGGGCTAAGCCTGAGTCCCTGCCATGAAATTCAGACATCCTTGTAGGAATTCAAATCTGTTTTCTTCGCTTTATGATGATATCACTTGAGGCCGTATTTGCCTTTGTCTCTGAAGTCAGATCACCTGGCTTCGAGTCCTAGCTTCTCCACTTCGACTGGCTGTATGGCTTTGGTCCAGTCCCTTAATCTGTCTTGTGCCTCCATTTTCCTCATTTAAAAAACCTCACAAGAGAGCTATGGAATTTAATGATTTAATATTTATACGCAGCATTTTTAACCAGCTCCTGGAACAGAGTAAGTGCTCAAGACACATGAGATAGTGTCATCACTGTTATTTTCTCAGAATTCAGGTCAGCAGTTCCACTGGGTAACTCTAGCACTAAAATCAATTTCCAGAAAAAGTAAGTCACTTAATGTCTGACTCAGACATGTGCATATGTTTCAGAGTTGGCCTCCTTCTCTTCCTCCCACTCCTTCTCTCTCACCAAAGTCAGGTGTGTTATTATAGACCCTGCAGTTAAATATGCGGTAATATTTCCTTTTATGAAACCACCTCTGAATGACTAATAATCCTATTTATTGAACACTTCCTATACATAAGACCTTATGCAAATTGCTTCATTCTGTTTTTCAAATTAATTAACCTTTAGCACAACCCTGCAAAGTAGATGTTTTTATTCCCATTTTCCAGGTGAAAAAACAGAGGTCCCAAGACAGGTCATGTCCAGACCAGATACCCAGTAAGCTCCTAACAGGAGCTTTTGCCCTGCTCCACCCTCCCTGCCTCTAAGATCAAGTTTACCTATAGAAATGCAAAGAAGGCCTAGCGCAATGACTCACACCTGTAATCCCAGCACTTTGGGAAACCAAGGCAGGCAGACCATTTGAGGCCAGGTGTCTGAGACCAGCCTGGCCAACATGGTAAAACCCTGTCTCTGCTAAAATTACAAAAATTAGCTGGGCGTTAGCACTGAAATGTCCTTTGAAAAAAAAAAAAGAAAGAAAAATTAGCTTGGTGTGGTGGTGCGTGCCTGTAATCCCAGCTACACTTGGGAGGCTGAGGCAGGAGGATGGCTCAAACTCGGGATGTGGAGGTTGAAGTGAGCTAAGATGGCACCACTGCACACTAGCCTAGGCGAAAGAGCAAGACCCTGTCTCAAAAAAAAAAATTAGCCGGACGTGATGGCAAATGCCTGTAATACCTGCTATTTGGAGGCTGAGGCAGGAGAATCGCTTGAACCCAGGAGGCAGAGGTTGCAGTGAGCCAAGATCATGCCCCTGCACTCCAACCTGGGTGATAGAGCAAGACTCCATCTCAAAAAAAGGAAAAGGAAAAGAAAGGGAGGAGGAGGAGGAGAATAAATGCAAAGAAGACCACTGGTTTTGCAGTTTTCTCCCCTGACATGGATGGGGCTGACATGGGGGTCAAATGATGTGTCCTCAGGGTTGGGGTGAAACTAGCATAAGTGACAAAGGGTAAACACCAGGAATGACCAGCCCCACCCTACTCTCTCCACCACCACCTATTAGGGGCCCCACCCGGATAGAACCAGCCCTGATTTGTCCCCCTGCAGGAGAAACTCAGAGAAGGAAACTGACCTCTGGGAAATGTTTGTCAGAACTGTCTCCGTAGAACACCTCCTCGTCCTGTGGTGTCACAGTAGCAACAGGCACTATGCCTACGGGAAAGTCCAGGACGTTGTACAGGCTCGTGTAGGACTGGCATTCTGCAGGAAGATCCAGATAAGCCCAGGAAATTGTCAGCACAGAGACTCAGGTGGAGAAAACTGTGGGTGGGCGCCCCCTCCCGCTCCTTCTGGGAACTTCAGCCCTCTGGGCTTGGACTAGCCGGTCGGTGTCCTGCATCATCTTGACAATGGCCTCAATCTCTCCCCAGGGTGGAGGGAAGGAGGGAATCCGCATTGCAGAAGCCTTACTCAGTGCCAGGCACTGTGCCGGCCTCACCACATTGCTGATCCCTTGAGTTCTCTCCACTCTGTGAGGAGGGGATTACTATTGCCTGTGTACAAATGAGGAAATCGAGTGGCAGGGTTAGGGTCTTTTGCAAGGCTACGTAGCTAGTGAATGGCAAAGGATTCAGCCCATGCCCTCCTATGCACAGGACTTCAAGATAGCAGGGGTGTACAGTGCCACCTGGCGTGGACAGCTTTTCTGCAGCAGCCACTTGTGTGCAGAAAGAGTCAGGTGTGGGATGCATCTTTGGCTGGCCACTGTGAGGGGAACAAGGAAGACATGTTCTTAAGGTCAGGGAAGAGGAGTCGAGGCTCCAGTTTGGAACTGGGTTTCATCCTGCCTTGGGCAGCACCTTTGAGACGAGCACCTGTGCATGGGACCCAGGAATGGCCCAGATACTACCCTGCCCTCAGCCCATGTTTCAGGCAGGCTGGGCTAAAGACGTCTTTTGAAATGGGGCAGCAGAGAGCAAGAGTAAATGGAGGAGCCTGGTGTGGTAGCTCACATCTGTAATCCCAGCACTTTGGGAGGCTGAGGTAGGTGGACCACCTGAGGTTGGGAGTTCGAGACCAGCCGGGCCAACATGGTACAACCTCATCTCTACTAAAAATGAGGGAAATTCTGGGGTGATGGAATATATATCCTATAAATTCTAAAAATATATTCTGTATTTCTGATTATAGTGGTGGTTATACAACCATATACATGAAATTAATCAAATTACACTTAAAATCAGTGAATTTTATTGCGTGTAAATTATACTTCCATAAAGTTCATTTCTAATGTGAATGGAAATCGCTAACAGGTACAAGTTTTCTTCAGAGTGACAGAAATGTTCAGAAATTAGATAACGGTGGTGGTTGCATGCCATTTTGAAATACTAAAAACCACTTAATTATATGCTTTAAAATGATGAATTTTGTTATCTTGTATCTCAATTTAAGAAATATTTTTAAACAGTGAATGGAGACAGAGGGCAAGACCGCAGAAGCTAGGGCAGGACTTTGGAGTCCTGGACTCCCAATCTCAACTCCACCAGGACCCAATGTGCTCTCACCTGACGATTTAGGGGAACAACCTGCACATAAGGCAGGGGCTAAAGCTGGCGCCAGCAGCACATCCAAGTCCAGGGACCTCCACTTGGCTATGAACTCTTGCTGATATTCCTGCAGGGACAGTGAGGGGCTAGGGGGTAGGACCGGCAGGGGTTACTGTTTGTGAGACAAGGTCAGATGCTTCCAGGCAGTGCTTCTCCTCAGTCTCCCCAGCTGTAAACAGGAGGAGCACTGCTCATTCTATAGAGTGTTAGGAATGAATAAATGAAGGCTGCTGTAGACAGAAGGGTGTGGGATGATCTTCCAGCCTAACTTCTTTTTTTTTTTTTTTTTTTTTTTTTTGAGGTGAAGCCTCACTCTGTCACCCAGCCTGGAGTGCAATGGCATGATCTTGGCTCACTGCAACCTCTGCTTCGCAGGCTCAAGCAATTCTCCTGCCTCAGCCTGCTGAGTACCTGGGATTACAGGCGCACACCACCATGCCCAGCTAATTTTTGTATTTTTAGTAGAGACGGGTTTCACCATATTGGTCAGGCTGGTTTTGAACTCCTGACTTCATGATCCAACCGCCTTGGCCTCCCAAAGTGCTGGGATTATAGGTGTGAACCTCCACGCCTGGCCTTCAAGCCTAACCTCTTTATTGTACTGATGGGGAGGCTAAGGCCGAGAAAAGAGATGTGACTTGGCCAGGCTACCTAGAGGGTTAAAAGCCCAGCTTAACTGGATGCCACACTCTCTGAACCACAGCTGCTGAGTATTCTGCTGGCAGGGGTTGGGTATATGACACTGGAGGCCCTCTTTGGGGGCAATTACAGCTATAGCTCCAGGTAGCCAAGAGGCCAAAGCAGCTGGTGTCCAGCAGGGACAGGAAACAAACTGGACTAAACATGTGGGCTTGTCACTCACTGCAGCCTGGAGTGGGAAAGGGGGTCTTCACCTGGGAAGGTAAGATGGCAGACAGGTCAAGAAGGAATGATGGTGGGGGTCAAGGAGCCCCCCAGGTCTGCTCTCCCACCTGGCTTACCTCCTTCCTGAAGGGCATCCGGGGCACAGTGGGGTCCAGTCGGTGCATGTCTTCACTCAGCAGGGCTCGCAGGCACAGCGCCAGGCTTTCCACGTCCCGGGCCATGGGGCCAGCCACCGTGCTCACTGCACAGAGAGGAGGGGAGAGAGGCAGGCACCTCTCAGATTTTTTGTTCTTGTTGTTTGTTTGTTTTTGTTTTTTGGGACAAAGTCTCTCTCTGTCGCCCAGGCTGGAGTGCAGTGGCATGATTTTGGCTCGCTGCAACCACTGCCTCCGAGGTTCAAGCTATTCTCCTGCCTCAGCCTCCTGAGTAGCTAGGATTACAGGTGTCCACCACCATGCCTGGCTAATTTTTGTGTTTTTAGTGGAGACAGAGTTTCGCCATGTTGGCCAGGCTGGTCTCAAACTGCTGACCTCAGCTTTCCAAAGTGCTGGGATTACAGGCATGAGCCACCGTGCCCAGCCAGCACCTCTCATTTGTTCTGCTCTGGGGATCCCAACTGCCTGGCCTCAGAGGGTGGGTCCCAGGATCATGGTCAGGATGAAGGAAGAGATTAAAGCTAGGTAGCAGGTCGGAAACCCTTCTCAGAGGGGCAAGAGTCACTTGACAAGGGGAGGCCAGGTGGGAACCGTGCAGTCTCCTCTCCCAGTCATCTGTGGGATCTGTCTGGATATATGGGTTGAGCGAAGTGTCCTTGGCAGATTCAAAGAATGGCAGATTTGTCTTTAAATGGGTGTGGCCACAGGCACAGACAGGGACTTACCCGATTTCTTCCCCTTGATGGCAGAGGCAACTCCAGTGTAGCTGCAAAACACCCCCACCCAGAGCCCAGCTCAGCATGTGAAGGGAGGGGCCTGGGTGCCAGGAGGCTTGAGCACTCAGGCAATGTGCTCCCCCAGGCCCAACCCACAAAAATAGGAGCTGCTTCAACCTTCTGTGACTCTCTACTGCCCACAGCATCAAGTCTGATCTCTTCAACTGCCTTTCACGGCTCTAACTCTCCATGGCTTCCCCCTCTAGCCCTTCCACATGTGCATATCGCTGTAAGCAAAGTCAGCCGCTTACAAACAGTCTTACAGCCTTCTAGACGCCACATCATCTCTGCATGTCCGGCCCTCAAAACCAAGCTTAAATGCTGCCTCCTCCAGGAATCCCTCCCTTCCCTTGCCCTGCCTCTGAAAGTCAAGAGTATAAGCTTTTAATAAATCTCTGTTGAAGAAAATGTCAGCTTTCTCTTATGCATTCTCACAAGTTTTCACCCTCTCTTAGAGCCCTGATCGCTTCTGACTAAGTCATTTGCATGTCTAAGAGCACAGCAGGGGCAGGGGCTGGGTCCAAGAGTGGTCTGTGTCCCCAGTAGGGGCCATGGTGTGGGTACACAGAGTGTGGTTGAGGGATGGATGGATGCATGCATGCATGCATACATGAGAACATATGGATGGTTGGACGGATGGATGATTGGATGGTGGATGGGTCGGTGGGTGGATGGATGGATGGATGGAGAGATACAAATGTGGATAGACAGATGGATACCCAAATGGATGGATGGAAAGATGGATGGATAAATAAATGGTTGGAAGGAGAGGTGTGTGTAAGTTTTTCAAGGGCTGAGATACTTGTCTATGTTGTCCGCTGGAGTAACCCAAGTAGCTGGTACCCAAGGAGCTGTATGTCTGACACGGTAAATACTCCATGGAAATCTGTTAAACAAATAGCGGATGAATGGTGAAATTGATGAATATAGATTGAGATGATGACCATGTAGGTGGTTGAATAGATGAAGGACGGGTAGATGGATAAATGGACAGATCGATGAGTAAGAGAAGGGGTATGTGGATGGATAGCTGTATAGATTATTGAATTAATGAACTGATGAATTCACGAGTGGAAAGTTTATTCTACTGCCACCTGGACAAAACATGGTATGTTTAGCATGGCTATTGCAGGAATTATTTGAAGGCCTCCTACCCACTTCCCCTAGTACTAAGCTGGGTAGATGAGAGTTGACGGGAGGAGCAGACCCCTCTACTTCCCCAGCCCCTAGTTCCTCTAGGCTGGGCTGAGCCCACCCCACCACCACCATCAATGAGTGCCTGAGGCGGGAGCCCGTGGTGCGGAGGCTGTAGACACCACAGAAGCTGGCTGGTATGCGGATGCTGCCGCCTGTATCAGTACCCATGCCTAGGATGGACCCACTTTCTGCCAGCAGAACTGCCTCACCCCCTGAGGAGCCACCACATGTCTTCTTTAAGTTCAGTGGGTTCAAGGTCTGGCCATAGGTGGGGTTGCTGCATTCGAAGCTAAGGGAAGCATAAGAAAAGGAGCTGAGGGTGAAAGCCTTACTGGGCAGACCCCTCCCCATATGGGGGCCAAATACCCTCCAGGGTTAACCCCAGGGCTTCTTTGCTCCATGAGCTCCTCCCTAAGGCTGAGGCCTCCTGGTCTCCCTTCCAGCTGGGGTGAGGGGCTGCTGCTGCAAGAAAGATCAAGATCAGACACTAGCCATGACTCCTAATATCAGAACCAAAGAGCCCACAGCTCCGCCATCAGAACTGAGAACAGCTTCCTCACAAAACATAGATGCAC